CTCTCTCTCTCTCTCTCTCTCTCTCTCTCTCTCTCGCTCTCTCTCTCTCTCTCTCGCTCTCTCTCTCTCGCTCACTCGCTCGCTCGCTCGCTCTCTCTCTCGCTCTCTCGCTCTCTCGCTCTCTCGCTTTCTCTTCCACCGTTATTTGTCGATCACGACCGTTCGTTCGTTCGTTCGTTGGTTCGTTCGTTCTCTCGTTCTCTCGTTCGCTCGTTCACCCGCTCGTTCGTAGCGGAGGCACGTGAGTCTCTTCAATCTTAATCCCGGGCGGATGACGAATCTGAAAAATTTGTCGGCCCGTCGACGGGCGCGGAGATACGTCGGGATTAAAAAGCTTTTGTTTTCCGTTGCCGTACACCCGTCCGGCGGCATCGATTTTAAATCGCTCGTCCTACGGTTCCATCGAATTCCGGCTCGCGCCCATTGTACTCCCATATGATACGCCGGATGCCGCGAGTCTCGGATTACAGATTGTTTTGATTTTATCGATGCGGACTGCTGTAATCATATAGTCGCGGACACACAAATTGGTCATAGTTATGCAAGAATAATACAAAATTATCATTTTTCGCTACCACATATATATATATATATATATATATATATATATATATATATACTTATATGTATACACACATCTTTCTACCTCAAACAAATCTTTTTTCTCTTAATTGCATCATTTTTTTACTAGTTGTGCGTCGTTTTTAGCCATTTTTTAAGGATTACAATCAATATCCTTAAAAAAGAAGACTGACCATACTGACTTGTTGAACGATCGCGAAAGACCTCGATGCTATCTGTACTCTTTGAATCACGTGTGTATCAAATCTTTATTTTTCTCGAAACATACTTTACGTGAATTAAGTCGTAACAACCAATGTAGCAGATGCGTTGCCCTCAAAGCGCAAAACATCGACGGTTGAAAAAGTTGAAAAAGTTGGGCGCAACAGTGAGTGGGTGATATAATTCATTTCGATCCAATTTTGTCCAAACGTTTGAATGAAATTTTTCAATCAATCTTCATTGTTTCATCTGTAAGACAGCGACATCGCAGTGATCCTTTAATTGTTGTGATCCTTTAATTCTCTTCAATTCTCACAAATCCTCGCGATCTGTGAGAATCGACACGACATAAAAGTCTGACAACTCATTTGTTGAATAATCGCGAATAATCAGAATGTGCAAATTATATTCTTCGCACGTGTGTTATGATGAAAAATTATCGTACACATATCAGTGTTTCATATATATGCAACGATGATTGTTGGATGTGTTAAAGAACTATGTTAAATAATTCGATTTGAATATTATAACAGAATTTTATAACAAATACGATTATTTTGATCTTTGTTTGACGCTATGTAATCTCATTTGAAGATTAACATGTCAAAGGTATTTTCCAAACAAGAACGTTTTTTTTTTGTGTACGAATAGGACATTATTATCTAGCCGATATATTATGATATAACGTAGAAATAAATCTTTCAAGAGAGGAATCTATCGCTATTTCACGAGCAAGTATAATACGTTAATGTTTTATCCAAAGTCTGCTTTATATTAATCGCAATTCCAACTTTACGACAACAAAAAAGCCATAACTTACTTATGTCGGCGTATTACAAAGTTGATGCAATCAGTAATACGCAAACTTGAAATGAAATTTCCCGCCTGTGAGCGAGAGTGTAGGTACATCACAATACGGAAGGACCTTTAAACATTTTAAATGCCCCACATACCGCGTAATGAATTTTCTCCTTTTTCGTTAATTTAATCCCAATTTAATTTTATTACGTCATGCAATTTGTACACGCGATATGTAATTTTATTATGCCGTTATCGGAATCCGTTTGCGCGCGTGTACGATATGAATAATTTCGGTTATTCGTCATGATATTTTTTATTATACGATGCAACGGTAAATCAGAAGAGCTCTCTTTTCCCGCACGGTACACGCGTGTACAGGTCATTTAAAGTAGAAATTGTACGGCCGCGATATACAAGCGAAAAATACGCGTATTATTAATCATATTTTCTGGGTTAATCAATAATATATTAAAAATTTTCTGCTGTCTCTCTCTCTCTCTCTCTCTCTCTC